AACAGCCGGCAATAGAATGGGCCAGAACACAATGTCTGTTTTTTACTTGACATGCCATCTTAAAAAATGCAGCATTCATAGTGTTAGATGCTGTAAAAATAGCTTTGTGAGACAAGGCAACAGCCACAAACCTCCATCTGCACATGTACATTGAGCAATTTATTTTAAAAAAAAAATAGGGTCACTGACAGATACTCAACAAATAAATAGGCTACTTTTATTATATTTTATTATTTTATTTAATTAATTTTTTTATGTCTGATTATGTATAGTAATAAGGGCATTGCTCGCAGTTTACTTTCTGAGACATTGTGTCTCTAAATTCATCCCATTTAAAACATATAACATATTTGAAAAAAGACTAGATAGACCAGTCAACCTCAAATGGAATTTAAATACAGAGGGTATGATAAATGATAGAGGCGTCAGATCTGATTCTTTGTATGCTAATTCCAAAGATCTTTAAGCTCTTTATGCTCAACAAATTAAAGCTTGACTCAAAGCCTTTGAGACCCTGAAGTTTTATACCAAGCAGTCAGTGTTTATATTAGTTGAAGATTTGCAAATTTACTGATTTGCAAATCCGCAGCTTAATTAAATCTGCAGCTAAAAACAAACAAAGTGAAACTGGGGTTATTAGTTTCTGCATGTGTTCCCTGTTTATCTCCTTTTGATGTTTCTTTTTTCCCTGCAGGTCACCCGACCCCACCCAAGTGATCATCCACTCTTGTTTCTCTTCCTGGTGGGCGGAGTCACACCATCAGAGCTCCGCCTCATTCGTGACGTTGTCTCCACCCATAAGTCAGGCACTCAGGTGATGCATTAAATGCATCAAAAGTGACAGTAAAGACATTTCTAATGTTATAAATTCAAATAATTTATTTCAAATAAATTAAAGTACCCCACCTCTCTCTTTCTCCCTGTTTTTGTCTGTGGCTCTCTGCTTTTTTTCTGTATCATTTACTCAGATATGATAGGAGTGTGTGTGCGTAAATGAATAGAGATGTAACTGGGTCGAGTCAGAATAAAAGGGGTTTTGTTGATCAAAGTTTCATGTCATGAATAAATCAAACATAATGAAAGCACAGAGTGGACCCTTATAGAACAGAAAGCCCACACATAGCCTGACCCAAAGCCACAGCTGCACTAGTGTGTGACAGAGACACACAGATGGGAATTTAGGGTGTCATGTACTAAATGAAGGTGCACCAAACTTGACTAACAAGACGGCCAGGGGGGAGACTTGTAGCGAGGGTTCTGTAAAGCCCTTTTGAACTGATTTTCTAAATGAAGTTCTCAGACGAGCCAAATGATCTTCATCTTTCTATCAGAGAATACAAAGCATGTACATACCCTCAGCACATGCATCAGCAGGTGCAGTAATATGCTGCCCTATTCATCTTCAAGACCTGGCTAATAACACTCAAACTAATAATCTTGCCGAGCCAGACTTTTGACTGTTGCATCTAGTCTACTCCACTTTGTGGATTATTATGACCAAAACATCGCCCACATAGAAAGGAAGAGGCTAGCTGAAAGATATGTAAAACCACCAACAATGATTTGCTCTTAAGCCTTTCTAAGAGCTGGCCTATACAGTTTTTGCTGTAGAGGCTTTGTTTTTTGTTTTGTTTTTGTTCGTTTTGTTTAGTTTTTTGGTTTGGTCGGTTTGCTTTTAAGCCTTTTATTCCAGTTGCCCTGTACAGTTTTTGTATAGAGGTTTAAGCCGCGTGTCCACCAAAGCGTTTTTTTCCCGAGGCTAGCATGTTTTTTCAGTTGTTTTCAATGGGAGCGCCACGTTTTTTTAAATGCCAGGAGCTTGACGAGGTGCTGAGAGTTTATTTCAGCGCTCAGCGTTTGTTTCTCAGCACTGAGAGTTGAAGAATGTTCAACTTTGGGTAAAATGCAGCGCTCATCACTGTCACTTTTTAGTCAGCCGTCCAATCACAGAGGAGGAGGGGCGGGGCAAATACCACACAAGGCGAAGTTAATATTGCTTGTCTCTTGAGTTTTCATGTCTGTACCAGATGGGATTCCCTGACTACTACAAATATTGATATAAAAAAATAATGTTTGCAACATTTAATTTATGATGTGTCTGCCACATGACTTCTGCTGATATTCCGTATCATAGCAACCAAAGCGTTTCAACCACTGATCTATAATAGAGAACATTATTTATAGATAATTCGTTTCAACTGAAAAAAACTTTGCACTGCAGAAACGCTCTCAAGCACTCACAGCTAGGCGTTTTCATTATTTTCAGCTGGCTAACAATGCTTTGGTGGACACATGACCTTAGTTTTGTTTTTTGTTTTTAGCCATTTCTTTCAGTTGCCCCACATAGTTTTTGGTATAGAAGATTTGATTTGTGTAAATCAACATAAATCAACAGACCGTTGTACAAATGTAATTGTGTCTGATAATGAGATTGCATGGTGAATGTGTGTGTGTGAGAGAGAGAGAGAGAGAGAGAGAGAGAGCGAGAGAGAGAGATAGAGAACTATCTAATCTGTTTCTTTTGTAATTTCTCAGGTACTCGTAATGTCCACTAGACTGCTGAGACCTTGCGATGTCCCTCACTTACTCTTCAGCATTGACAGACTCAAACCTGACATTGGAGTGTGAAGGGTCTGGACATACACACTTCTGGCTGTTGAATCAATTCTTTCCAACATTGTTTGCCTTTTCAGAGGTATCACACATTTAAAAAGGTTTAAGGAATATACAGAACATGCTTCTGTTCCTTATAAATAACACAATATCCCATTCCAATACTTTCACATTTTGTTGTATATGACCAAAAACTCTGTCTTACCATTTTCCCTTAAAGTCCCTCCATTTTTCCCCTCTAAATAAAATCTTAATGGTTGGCCTTATGCTCGTGTGTGTAGTTTATTTTTGCAAAAAAATAAAAAATAAATAAAACTGTTAATCATGTTTCACACAGTCAGTGCAGGGTATTCATTTCTACAGTCACAGCTTGCTTGTTTTTGTCATGCCGTTTGCAGATACAGCACATTCTCCAGTTCAGTTCTTACAATCAGCCATGTGTTGATTCTCACAGGAGCTTCCCTCTTCATCCTTCACTCACTTCAGTGCTGTTGGAGAAGTGACAGATGGGAAGAGGGCAGAGGTCAAAAAGGGTGGCGACGTCCTTTAGAGCAGCGCTTTCTGTTCTGCCTTCACTTTCTCTTACACATTTACTTAGCCATCTATAAAGGGGCATACTATAGACCTCTGATGTTTTTATATAACAAAGCTAAGTATAAAAACTATTTACCAAAGATAAATCTAACCCTAACTTTTTGAAAATCATTATATGCATATCTTTTATACTCTTATAAGATTTGACTTAGGGTGTTGGTAGTTTGTTGTCTTTACCATGTGGAAAACATCAGCTACTAAGACTTTTTCAGTTTTTGAAATGAGTCTCTTATGCTCTCTAAGTATGCATTTTTTTATTTAAAAAAAAAAGGTAATATTTTTTTTTATTATTACAATTTAAACACATTTCGGTGTTAATATATTTTAAAATGTAATGTATTCCTGTGATAACAAAGCTGAATTTTCAGCATCATTACTCCAGCCTTCAGTGTCACATGATCCTTCAGAAATTCTAATATGCTGATTTGCTGCTCAAGAAACATGCTTATTATAAATGTTTAAAACATTTGCTGCTTGATATTTTTTGTGGAAACAGTGATATCTTTTTCTTTGATGAATAGAAAGTTAAGAAGAACAACATTTTTTGAAATAGAAATCTTTTTGGCATTATATATATATCTTTACTGTCACTTTTGATCCTTTTAATGTATTCTTGCTGAATAAAATGAATTTCTTTTAATGTGAAAATGGTGGTTACATTTTAAACCATAATATCATACACTTGTAAGTGGGACTGATCTCTCAAGACTCCATTAAACAAAATTCAAGCTTTACATTTGAAGGTCAGTTTAAACAGAATGAAGGTTCGGACACAATATATTTTTGTAAAAACAACTCTTTATTTCCAATCACAATCAAATAACATAAATAAATAACTCTGAACTTTAGCCCTTTGGCTTTTTTTAAAGTGCATTACACAAGAAAAATCTCTTCTACTCCACTATAGAAAAGTGGCACAAAGCACAGTTACACAAAACCAGGAGAAACATTCTGGCCTTGTACACAAGAGTAGGACTGTAAAAGATACACACACACACACACACACACACACTCTTTTCATACGCTTAGCTTGAGTGCCTTGTCCTTTAACAATGCCTGCATTCAGATCGTAAAAGCCTTGACCACAAGAAGGAACAAAAAACTCAATCTCTCCCATGCCTTTCAGAAAAGCAATTCTTAAAATAGTGTTTTTGGCTTCCACTGTTTCTGTTGCCAAGAGAACGTGTCTTAAACGTTCACAGGTAAGGCAGAGTGTTAATAATAGTGTTTCTTATGTGTTTCCATCAGTTCCATTCAGTCATTTTGTCTTTGCGCTGTCCCTCTTTAAGGCGCTATGACCACATCTCCTAGAATCCTGCTTTGTGTTCACATGGATATAAGTGACAGCAACACAAGTGTCCACCAGCACTGGGACAGTCAAGTGAAAATGTAAGACTTCACCAAACTCTGCTTGTTTGTTTGTTTTTCAGCTACCATGACTCAATCAGAGGTCTAGTTTCAGGGGCCTCTGTTTGGAACCGGTCTGCTGATCATCAACAGATCTCAGGAATTTCCAAAGAGCGAGACCTATACATTCAGAAAGATCTTCTCCTCTCCTTAGAGCTTCCTCTCTCTTAATCCTGTACTTTTTTCCCACTTGTCCTGCTGGTATTCACACTGAAGTGACAGTCCGGACCTTGGCGGACAGCACCTGTTTGAAGCGCCTCTTCAGGTCCTGCATGTTGGGGGATTTGGGCCGAGGGATGAGGGTAGATCTTTTCTTTTCTGTTCCAGATGTAGCTGCATTGACATGGGTCTGAGGCTGCTGTTTGGCCAGATATCAGTTCCATTCAGTCATTTTGTCTTTGTGCTGTCCCTCTTTAAGGCGCTATGACCACATCTCCTAGAATCCTGCTTTGTGTTCACATGGATATGTGACAGCAACACAAGTGTCCACCAGCACTGGGACAGTCAAGTGAAAATGTAAGACTTCACCAAACTCTGCTTGTTTGTTTGTTTTTCAGCTACCATGACTCAATCAGAGGTCTAGTTTCAGGGGCCTCTGTTTGGAACCGGTCTGCTGATCATCAACAGATCTCAGGAATTTCCAAAGAGCGAGACCTATACATTCAGAAAGATCTTCTCCTCTCCTTAGAGCTTCCTCTCTCTTAATCCTGTACTTTTTTCCCACTTCTCCTGCTGGTATTCACACTGAAGTGACAGTCCGGACCTTGGCGGACAGCACCTGTTTGAAGCGCCTCTTCAGGTCCTGCATGTTGGGGGATTTGGGCCGAGGGATGAGGGTAGATCTTTTCTTTTCTGTTCCAGATGTAGCTGCATTGACATGGGTCTGAGGCTGCTGTTTGGCCAGATCTACGCACAGTCTGTGGAAGGCACCGTGGACCTGGCTGTAGTCCTCGCTTGCGGACACCTCGTAGAAGGAGCAGCCCAGCGCTGAAGCCAAAAGGGGACCTTCTTGAGCATCTACGTGCCTTACGTGGAGGAGATCAGCTTTATTGGCCACCAGGATGATTGGCAAGGACCTATCCGTATGTGTGCGGGCAACAAGCTGGTGGAGCTGACCAATGAGATCAAAGCTTCGGCAGTCAGTAACGGAATAGACCATAACTACAGCATCCGCCCACTGAATGAAGCGAGATACCTGGTCAGTGAAGCTCAATCCATTAGCGTTCACCTGAAGAAAAAAAATACAGACATTTGTCAGTTATGCAACACGTTTGGATCGTATACACATTTTCTATAAATTACTGAATAGTGTGAGCTCTGTGGGTGATAAAGTGTACAGCAATGCTGACTGAGAAGCTGGAACAGTATCATTTGCTATTGGCTGCGACTGTCCTTCCACAAAACCAGGAGATTTAGCTGGCTAGACTTAGAGTTTTTCACCCTAGTCCGAATAGAAAAGGCATTATGTGGTTTTGGACGACTGCCTGCTTTAGGAAATGAGCCTTGCATGCTAAACTTGGCAGTAAAATATCTGACTAAATACATCTTGAAAGAAGGCCTGTAATTGAATTAAAAACCATTCTCTAATTTTGAAAGCAGAGGGATAATTTAGATGGGCTGGTCTACTGTTACTGTTCGGAACTGCTTATTCACATCCCTAAACCCGCTGAGCACTGCTGAAGAAGCAAAACCTCCCAACCGCTGCTACAAATATCCCACGGCGCTGCAGCGAATCGTTCTTTGGAGTCGGATCTTTTTATTGAACCGCCTCTCAAAACCGATCTTAACGATTCGTTCGAAGCTCAATCTGAATTTGTTTTAAGAGTTGGTTTTAAATATATATTTTATTATTAAACCATGCTAACTCTTTTTATCCGTCGAATTTTAGCATTGTTCATTGTGTCATTTAGCTTTTAAATGCGCCCATATATGAGTGCAAAAGCAGGCGTCCCACACAAAAGAAGCGCTATGACACAAAGGCGAAAGTATGCGCTCTTTCTACACTTCTCACCCGTGAAGAAGCAGCGAGAGAAAGATGCTCCGAGAGCACATATAACAGTAACAATGTGACATAAAATCGCATGAAGAACGACTGTGTTCCTGAACTTACTTCAACTCCAGGTGTGTCCTGAACTTGAATGGCCACTTGCTCTCCGTCTATCTGCACTTCTCTGTTGTACAGGTTGCCTGTAAAGCGACAATGCAGACTTTAATATATTTGACAACATCACTAATGATGGGTTTAAATTATGCTTACTAAAATCAGTCGTCTTGGAAAGATGGGGAAAAACTTACCGACGTTTCTCTCGTAGTCACCAATAAACCGTTTAGTGAGAAAACGAACCACCAACGCTGCACAGGAATAAACAAGAAATGGGCATGAATACATATGGCTTAAAACACTAATCTACAAAACATATATATATGTAATGTAATATTAGATTATTAGGTGAATTATCGTGAGCTGTAAAACAGGTCCACAAACGTACCGGTTTTGCCAACTCCACTGCCGCCGATGACTGCGATCTTGATGACCCGGTTGGAGTGGCACTCGGCGCTCGGGTACTCCGCAATGGTAGACATGTTATGGATCAGACGCATTTTTGGCAAAAGAAAGATACTATCCAAAGACTACGATGGGAAACTAGGACAAAATATCCACAGACGCCATAAAAGTAATGTCAGAATCGAAGATAGCCAACGGCATATACGCAGATGTTGTCTTTCAATTATATAGTCGGAGGATATTTCCAAGCTCCTTCTCCTAGTTAAAAGCACCAACTTGGTTTACTGAGCCGAGATGGGAGCTTGGGTTTATTTATACAGCCACAGAAGCGCTCGGCTCTGATTGGCTACTGCAGACAACGGTCACATCGCCTCGCCCCGCCCCGCCCACCGCTTGAAGTGTATGCGCGAGCTGTTTATGACCGAATAAAAAGAGAGAGAAAGACCGGTTGGTTCACCCATCCGAGTAAACTGACAGCCGCTTCAGAAAAACCTACCCTTACAGTCGCTGAGAAGGAAAATAAGGCGGTGTTTTACAAAACTAGTCGACTAGCTTGTAGAAATTAGTTAAAATGGAGGTTTTGAAAGGGGCTTTGTGTTGTGATTGCTGATATCGGTCAGTTGTAAATGAGTGACTTCAAACGCCTGTAGTGAGAATGTTATCTAGGCTCATCTCTAAGCGCATAATGTGTCACATGCAAAGAGTGTTTCTTTCTTTTTCCTTCTTTCTTTCTTTCTTTCTTTTTCTTGCTTTAGCCTGGGCAATGAGAAAAAGCCATTGATCAGAATCCCCATAGAGTCGCCTCAGGACCTGTAAATATATAAATAAATTACCCCTCTCTCTCTCTCTCTCTCTCTCTCTCTCTCTCTCTCTCTCTCTCTCTTTCTCG